CTGCTTGATAACTGTGTGACAAAGCAAGTCCTGAAACTCATCAAGTCTCAGTTTCCTCATCTGTGACATGGGGACAAGATAGGTAAGGGCTGTTAAAAGGATACAAGAGAGGGCAGCAACAGTGCCTGGTGTGGTACATGTACAGGCAACGGGAGAGCCTCGGCTCCCACATCATACACTTCGCGACAGTGTGCTCTTGCTAAAGCTTTGAGAATGCTTAGTTCCTGGTGGTGATTTGGCCATGACCATATGTCTGTGTTTCAACAATCTGGCCTTGGACAATTTCAGTGTTACCTTGGGCAAGTCCCTTCCCCCTCTGAGCTTGATTTCCCCAATTCTGAGATGAGGGGGCCAGACTTGCCTTCGAGGGCCTCTCTAGTGGCCACCTCCTAGCTAGTGCCCCGCGCGGGTTTCCCCACTGCCAAGGCGGATGAAGTTCTCACAAATCGCTCTGGGTTCTTGGGAGCATTAATGCTCGTTAAGTGCTTCCAGGCTGGCAGCTGGCACTCAGTGTGAGGTGTCACTTACTACTCTCCTGGAAACCCTTTTGTTAGCAGGAGGCTGATTTATCTCATTGCTTTGAACCCCTATCTTCCCTTGCCTCTCCCCTGTTAAAAATTCCATTGTAAGCTGCTTAAATGAAGGGGTGAGAGGTACAATGTCTACCAGTGGGCTGCCACCTGCAATCTCTGCCACGGGCACTCAAGGGCCGGGGGAACAGGGAAGGAGGGATCAGGGCTGGACAAGTCCTGGAACCCTCATGCGGGTCCCTGGGTCCAAAGGCCTTGGGCATGCCTTGGTGAAAACCAGAAAAACATGCAAAGGCCTTACATCATCCTCAGGGCAGCTGAATATGAGAATGCTGCCTATGGGCCAGGCATGAATATGAACACTTCTCATGTATTAACTCATTTGGTTCTCATAACAATCCTGAGAGTAGGTACTGTTGTTGTCCCCACTTTATAGCTGGGATGCCAAGGACCAGAGAAGCTAAGAAACTTGCCCAAGATCACACAGCTAGTAAATGGCACTACAGCATGCAGATCCAAGCTACCTGGCCTCAAGAGTCCATGCTCCTCACCTGGCTTATTCACAATTCCCCCAAGTCCTAGCAGCAGCCCCTTCTTACAAGTGAGAAAGGTGGAACTCCGCTGCCTTAGAGCTGGTTCCTCTAGCCACCCCTCCTGGAATCTCTTCTTCAAGCGGCAGACTCACCTCTGTGCCTTAATAGTGATAAAAACATGCCATCAAGTGCCAACTCTATGCCTGGCATGGAGCTAGGCCCTGTGCATGTCTTCTCTCTAGTTGTTGCCATAAGCCCAGGAGGAAGTAGCCTCTGTCCCACTCTGCGGTCAGAAGCCACACAGCTGCTGAGTGGCAACACAGAGGTTCCCCTCAGGCCCACTTGGATCCTAAGTCCATGCTCTTTCCACCACCCACCTGGACACTTACTGTCCCACCCGGTCACCTTTCAGAGGAAGGGGAAGGAGACCAGGGCCCAGGTGAGGAGCAGGCTGTGTCTTCTTCGCTCACAGCCTCTGCTCAGCTGGATGCCGGTAAAGGAAGCCACTTTGACACTGAATTGCTTAGCGCACAAGAACTGGTTTGAGATACCTCTCGCCCAGCAGTGTTGTTCTCAAAGCGAGGACATATTCAGGGAGGGGCACATGGCCGGTTGGGAGGAGAATTCAGTTTGGTGAAATGCTACACAGGGACACCAGGCTGCCATCTGATGTCCTCGCTGTAGTTCCTGTAAATCCTGCAAAGCCAGGCACCGGTGTGAACTCATCACCCTTCCCCGTATGCAGCACCCCCGCCCCCCGCGCCCCGCTCCACCGCCCCCCCCCGCCCCCCGTCCCCGGCCTCACAGGCCTGGAGGGGAAGCTGTTAAAAGCTTGTGTTCAAACACCCCCAGGAAGCAGCCCAGGGTCCCATGCACATCAGCTGAGCCAGGTGGGACAGGGTGAGCACTGCTGCCACCTGGCCATTTCCTGCAGGTCCTGATTTACGGAAAGGTCATTGATGACGGCAGCAGCCAGAGTCCAGGAATGACGCTGCCCAGCAGCCCACGTGAATCCAGACAAAGAAGTGGTGGTATGACAGCAGCTTAATTCAGGCCAGTTCATCTCCTTTTATCTCTGGGAGTAACTGTGGCTTCAAAGCCCCGCAGGGGTGTCTCCCAAACTAGAGCCTCCTCCAGGCTCCTGGCACACCCCTAAGCCCTCTCTCTCCCCTCTCCTCTGGCGCATTCCGCATTCCTCGGTTTGTACTATCAGTAATCACTGCTACTACCTGTTAAGCAGGTTCTGTGTGTCAGGCAGGCCCCGGGTGGGGGGTTTGATGTTTTCATTAGCTCCACTTTACAGAAAAACTCAGGCTCAGAGAGAAATGACTTGCCCAAGGTCATACACCAGGAACTTGTGAAGTCTGAATCTGAACCCAGGTCTGTTGGGTTCCAGAGGCACCGAACTTAAAGCCAGTGAAAGACTGGTCACATGCCCACTGTGATCACCTTCTACTTGTCCCCGTCTCTGAGAGCACCTGGACAGACCCCAGAGAGACCGGGGCAGGGTTACCAGTGTGTGTCTTGACAGAGCTGGTGGAGCTTTTGCTGTGCCATTTACCCTGTGTCCCTAGCAGTCAGCCCTGGGCAAGGCCCCGAACAACCACGTGCTGAGTGAAAAAGTGAGTAAATCAAGAACAGCTCTCCTTGCCCAGTGTCTGGGTCCTTACACGTCCTGCTTTCCCAGGAGCCAGACGCCCCCTGTGGCTCATTTGTGGCTGCAGAAGGAAGGCCCTTTCTTACTGCTAGGACGGCTGTAGGCACTGGGTGCTGGGGCACCCAAGGCCCTGCCAAGGTCACTCTTGGGAGACAGGTAACCCACAGGACCTCAGAACCCTCTATGGGTTCACCTGGGCAACAGTTAACCACATTTATTGCAACAGAAATTGTAAATCTTTCAAGTATACTTGCATGTTCAGGCACACTCTCATAGCAGCCCCAGTATGAAGGACGAATGAACAGGGACCCAGAGCTGCTAAGTGACCTGGGTTCGGCCACACAGACAGTCAAGGGCAGCGGGAGGCCTTGTGCCCAGGTCTTCAGAATCAAGGTCCAAGTGTCTTTCCACCATTCCAGGCTCCTACTCTCCACCAGGCTCACCGATTAGACAGGGGTAGGGGGTTGAGATTTAAATCTCAGGACTTGAGGAATTTTACAAACCGAGACTTGGTTTAGCTCCATCCCTCCCAGCAATGCTCTCTCTATCCTGGTCGACAGTTGGAGCCATACATAGCTAAGCCCATGCTGTACAATGTCAGACTTCAACAGCCTCAGCCCCGCCTCTACCGATTCCCTGAATGTCTGCAGACTGTTCAGGGAAAAGGAGAAGAGGAGCGTCCTTGGTCCTGTCCCTGATTTACACTAGAAGCCAAAGCTCCAACAACTGAGATCCACACCAGCCACCTTTCCCCAGTGCTGATGTGGGCTGTAGGGAAATGTCTGTGCTCTAGGCAGGTAAGGCAGCTGTGCTCCTAAACTGGAATCCACGCATTCCTATTTGAGGGTAAAAAAAATATGTCACCCTCCCTCCTGACTCAGGAGTCCTTTCTAGGCATCTATCCTAAGACAATATTTTATGCACAAAGATGATAATTGCTGCATTATTTTTAGGATTCGAAAAATTGGAGATGACCTTCATCCAACATTAGTGGATGGTTAAATGAATTATGGCACATCCCTGCCATAATTGCAACCATTAAAAACATTCTTTATGAAAAAATTCAAATGAGTTAGGGAAACACGATATAACAGTAAGTCAAGAAAACAAAAAGAAAGGACATAAAATTATACATAGAGAGGAAAAAAAAAGCACACAGAAGAAAAGATTGGACGGAAATGAGCCAAGATGTCAATACAGGCTGCATCTATGTGGCAGAAAGAGTTATTTTTTGCCTACTTTACACTTTTTGATACTTTCTCATTTCCCCACACTTCTATGAATTTGGGGAGAAGAAGAAGCTACTCAAATTCACACACAGCCTTCTCACAAGGATAGTAAATTGTCTGAACAGCCAGAAGGGTTGTGAAGCCGGACTGTTAGAGGGAAGAAGGGAGGTCCCACGTCCCTTTTCCCATAACACAAATACTTCTGACAGGGCCACACAGGAGGGGGCTGTCCCTGGTAAACCTGCTTTTGAGATTTTTCCTGACACTTGTTTTCTGACTTGGTTCTTTGGTTTTTGACTTCAGGAGCCCCTGTCTCTAAGGAGTGAGGACTACAGGCACTGAATGTCCCTCCCCAGCCCTGGAGGCTTCCGTCTCTCAGGGAGTAAGGAAGCAGAAGGCCTGCACAGAGGGGCGCTGGCAACTTGGACGGGCGTTAAATTTGAAATCTGAGGCCCTGCCCCCAACAAGGCACCTTTGCAGCCTCTTTGGCTGAGGGAAGCTTTCGAGGTGCTGGGTTAGGGGAGCCCTATGGCCAAACGGTCACAGCATCAACAGTGGGACCGCAGATCAAGCACAAGTTGCCGACACACAGCAGCACCCGTGTTACACACCCACCAGGTAAGCGTGTGACAGACACACTCCCACCCTAAAGGCCGTGTAAGTGCCCATCTCATTGGAAGTGTGTTCCGTTTCTCTGAGAAAACACCCAGTGTTGTTGTACAGCTATACTCAGAGGAGTGGGTTTAAACTCAGTCCTGTGTCCTTCAGAGCTCCAAACCTTCTCCGTGAAAACGTGTCTCCATCACTCACCGACCCCACTTAAATTTCCAAGTTCGTTTGCTCTAAGAGATAAATGATCAGTGCATGCAAAGAAGTGTTTAAGGTGAGAGAGAAGCATAAGGGTTGCCCCAAAACTAGAAGGCTCAGAACTGAACAGTCCAGAAGGAAGCCAGACTTGGAGAATTAGGGACGCAGCTCGGGAGGTGAAAAGCCAGCAATAAATTCCGCTCAGCCACCAGAGGGGCAGTGGGTCTCCCCGAGGTCCACTCACCAAACATGCTGCCCTCATAGCCATCCTTTGTGAGGGGCCGGAGCTCATTTTTCCCCATTGCGTAGCGCTTGTAGCTCTGCCAGGCGAACCGCATCATCTACGAGAAAAGGCGGAAACATGAGCGTGGCGATTCCCACCAGCGCAGACTGGCAACCTGGCTTCGCCCTTTGCAACGGGGTTTGAAACCACATTTGAAATGTAATCTTCCAAATTGAGGAAAATGACTTCCTCTCGCTACACTTTTATTCATAATTACAGATGCTCAGAGGGCCATTCGCCTCGAACAACCCCGCATGCCCAGAGTCTACACGTAGATTTCCTAGAGAAGAAAAAGGCCAAACTGAAGAGCCTCCTCTTCCATGAAGCCTTCTTTGTTTTTCTCTGGCCTAAAGTGATCCTCCGAAGGAAGGAAACAGCCTGCTGAACGATGCCTATTTAATCAAATAGAACAAGCCCCTGAATGAAGGATTGTTAACTCCGCTTTGTAGGTAAGGAAACAGGTCAGACATGAGGTGACTTGCCCAAGGTTACAGAGTGAGTCAGTGCTGGGAAATGAACCCATGTCCTCTGGCTCCAAAGCCTTAGGTCTGTCCCAAAGCCTCAGCGCTGTCCCTTAAAGTCACTACATGAGTCTCTTTGAATGCCTCCAACACATGGCTGGACCTAGCCTGGCTGTCTGGGGCTCCCTGGCACCCCAGCTGGTCACTGTCATTTTTTGTTTTCCTGGCTCTGAACCATATACTCCTTGACATCAGAAATTATACTTACCTTGCCTCAGTTTCTCCCATGGCACCCAGCACAGGCTTGGCACATGGAGGCAGCAATGAGTATTTGTTAATTTTGTCATCCAGCATGGAAGTTGTTACTACATTAAGGCAACTGTGTCAGCTCCTTGGAAGCATTACACAAGCACCTTGGCCCCTGGCTGCACTTGGTACTGAAGGCTGGAGGAATGCAAGGTGACAGCTGGCTCCAGCCCCGCTCCCTCGTCCCCCGGGGTCTCCCTTCTTTGCCGTTATGATGCTGCCTTTTTGCCTCTGCATGGCAGGCAGCAGGCGGAGGGGAGCAGGGCAGTGGGGTGACCGTGGGGCAGAAGAGGGAGCTGGGCAGGTAGCTAAGGGACCGGTGGGCAGGGAGCAGCTTGGTACAGTGGAGAGAACTGAGGCCTCGGGGCCAGAGAGGCCTGAACTCTAATTCCATCTCTGTCACTATCTCTTTGACTTTGGCCAGTGACCAAACATCTCTGAACCTCAGTTGCCTCATTTTTAAGTTGGGAATAACAAGACCTGCTCTGCCACAACCCTGAAAAGTTTAAATGGAAGAAAGTAGCTGGAAACGTCCAGTTTCTGACCTGACATAGCAAGCGATCTATAAACTCCTGCTGATCAGCCTTTAAAATCCCCATCTCTCCTAGCCTCATCCATCTGCCTCCTTTTGTCGGTCCTATGAGTTCTCAGACTTTGGCGTGCACCAACATCATCTGGGGGGCTGGGGAGAAGGGCCCGATTCCTGGGTTTCTGATTCAACAGGACTGAATTTGCTTTTCTAACAGGTTCCCACTTGATACTGCTGGTCGTTGGATCACATTTGAGAACCACTAAGCTATTGTGTCATATGTGTTTATTTCTGTTTGTCACATCACTTCCAGGCTTCCTTTTGCCTTTCTTCTATCTTCTGGCCTCCTTTCCTCCTCAGTCCCCTCCTTCCGGACACTTCCACCTGCATTCTCTGTGCTCTGCTCCTGGTGCCAAGGCTTGAAAGCCGTGTCTTCTGGGCACGTCAGGACAGTTAACTACTGCTGTGCTCGCTGCACAGACCGGAGGGGCAGGCGGGCTACATCTGTGGCCTGTGCTCCCCGTCAAAGGGCAGAATAACCTAGTACCCCCTCTCCGTTTCACAGATGACGAGACGGAGGCCCCAGATGGAAAGTGGTCAGGGCGGCATCCATCCAGCTCTTTCAACTCCCAGGCCAGCAGGCCCCACCCCCACACCTGGCTTGATATGTAGCTTCCCATGTGACACACATGCAGATGTCATGGTAATGCATGCCTAGCACTTTGCACAGGCTTTGAGTCCTGGTCCCATTCCTCTGTTATTTTCTACTTATCTCGAATTGGCAATAACGGAAACTAATTGCGGGTATGTGCGCTTGAGGGAGACTGGCCTCCTCCCTCAGACTCCCTCGATTTAGTCGGTGTGAGGGGAAGGAAGGGCGGCGGTGGGGTGGGAGAGCAGCGGGAGGCTGTGACAACACAAGCGACAGCAGAAAAGAAGGAGCAGGGGTCTGGAGGGGGAGGACTGCACCCTACCCTCAATACCCGCTCCTGCTTAAGGCAGGGAGAGAGAGGGATGTGGGTGTACAGGAGTAATTAAGAAAATCACAGGTATCTACATGTTCTCAAAGGAGTTGTCACCGCAGGGATGCCGAGATGTTTCGAACATGGCCCGTTCTTATGTCATCCACATCAACAGAGGGGAATAATGGCACCAACGACTCCTGTGTCACTTGGGACTGGATTCAGAAGGCACGCAGAGCTTCTCTCAGTTGCAAGCGCGCACGCACACACAACGTACACACAGACCTGCCAACCTTGGGTCTCCCGCCTTGAGTCACGAGTGACTCAGCACACACACTGGATGAGCAGGGGACAGGAGACACCCCCGGCCAGGTAGTCCTCATGTCTCTTCCTCACATACCCCAAGCAGCGCCTGCCAGGCGTCCCGCCCTGTGCGTGGCCCCAGTCTGGGCTGCAGCCGTAGCGGGGATGCTCCCCCAGCCTCTGCCCTCTCCTCCTGGCCAACTGCTTTTCTTCCTTCAGATCCCAGCTGAAAGGGCGCTTTTGCAGAGAGACCTTGTCCCCAGCCAAGCCTAAGCCAGGACCCCACTCCTACCTCACATTCCCCATGTCCGGTCTCTTAGCAGCCTACAGCTAAGCTGTTATACTTGCAACTGTTTTGCTCCTCATTCACTGCCTTAAGGCCAGCAACTCATCCAGTGACATAACAGATGCTCATTAAGTATTTGCCAGTTCTGGAGCTTAACCTATGGCTGCGAGGCTCAGTGTGGACCACATGCGGCCCAGGTAAGGTAACAGGTCAGAGGGAAGGATCTCGTGAGCAACAGAAGTGCTCAGAAGAGGGTAAGCGTGTGTCTCAAGGGAAGCTTTGTGAGTACCCAAGTATCCTGATGGCCAAGCAGGACTGGGAGGGGGCCCAAGAAGAGGACGACACATACAAAGGCTAACCTTAATCTGGAACTGGTGGTAAGGGCCCGGAGTGACCCCTGGACTTGGCTTTAGAGGTGGACTGTCCCTAGCTTTATGCTTAGGCTGTTCTAAGACCTCAAAGGTCGCCCACTCTACTTCCTGCGCCATGCAAGTTCCTTAATAAAAGATTAAGTAATCTGTCTGTGAACACTCCCAGCGGCAGGGCGCTCACCCCTCTATAGGGCGGCCCATTCCATCGCAGAGTCTCACAAAGTTCTGGCTTAATCCAATTCTGCTTTCGGCCATGGAGAAGTCAGTTCATAAACTTCCACAGCACAGACCTCCAGTCATGGGGAACCAACTCTCAAGCGGTTCAGAAAACTCTGTGTGTGTGTGTGTGTGTGTGTGTGTGTGTGTGTGTGTGTGTGTGGTGGAAGGGAGGAGAGAGAAAGGGGGGGAGAGAGAGAGAGAGAGCAGAGTAAAAGATTAATATTTGAGGAATCTGGGTAAAGGGTAAATTTGAAGTGTTAGCTAGATTTTTGCAAGTTTTCTACAAGTCTGAAATTATTATTTTTTTAAAACCCATTAAGGAACTTTGCTGGAGGTTGATGTCATTTCCACCCAAATTTACACATCACAAAATCTGTCTTTTTCCACTTTAACTTATGACAGAATGTGCCTGCTGCCAGTCTCTTTGCAGCTCTTGTTACCCACAGCTCCTCCAAAACCCTGCTGAGCTTTTATGCACCCTCACCTAGCCTGCCCTGCCCACTCTGGTCAGAAGGCAGAGCAAATGAGGAACTAGCAATTTGGATTCTCCTTTTATAATTATATTACCATGTTCAAGTGAGGTGCCACTTTTACTCTGTTTTTCCTGCTCCAAAAATAAAAGACCCTTTTGGTGGTTCTGAGCACTTCCCAGAAGTCCCAGCGCAGTCTTGGCTTCAACCCCCATGCCCTCTCCTCCGACATCTGCATTAGTCTTTCACTTAGCTCAGTTCTGTGTCCCATACTTCCCTCTTCTGCATACAGTCTTTTTATTTAAATCCTTGCCCAAGGATGCATTTACTGATTTGAGAGAGAGATCGATCAATGTGAGAGAGATAGATCAATCAGTTGCCTCCTGTACATAGTCCAGCTGGGGACTGAACGCAGGACCTAGGTATGTGCCCTGTCCAGGAATGGAACATGCAACCCTTTGGTATAAGGATGACACTCCCGCAGATTAAGCTATCTGGCCAGTGTTGCATACATTATTAACCAAAGTTTAAAAAATAAGGTTGATCCATCTATCCATCCATCCATCCATCCAAAGTATATATGCTCATTGTAGGAAAGCAGAAAGAAAACTACTATATTCAAATACTATAACTACCATTCCCATTTTGATGTCTTTATTTTCATTTTTTCCCCCCATTCATCTTCACTTCTTCCAGTGATGACATAAATATTTTCTATTTTATTACAAAGGCTTTGAAAATATAATTTTAAATGGCTATATAATAGCCCAGCAAGTAGATTTAAACTTCCCTATGGTTAGACATTTCAGTGATTTCTACTTTGGGGCTATTATAAATAATGCTATAATGAACATCTTTGTACACACTCCTTTTTCTATACTTTGATTAATTTCCAGAACACCTAAGAAACTGTAAGAAAAAATTTAGAAGTTATTAGTATGTACATTCCCTTTTAAAGATTAAAACCAGATAGCTTGCTTTGCTGACCATTGAGCAAAGTTTGGTGAATAGGGAAATGTGTAACAATTTTGTGACAACACAATGAAGTAGATCACTTGGGGAGATAAAACTAAGGTAATAATCGATTGTTGCTACATTTGTGTAGCTCTTTGCACTTTTTATCTCATTTGATTTGGGTAGTTCAGTGAGCT